TGTGTTCTACTATTAGGCAAGGGACCCTAATCTAAATTTAGAAGACAGAAAAACCTTCTTTTTGCTTCAGTATTGGCCTAGTTGATGTTGGGTTAATTGAATGAAATCCTTCTTAGGGAATATCTAGATTTTTTTAGGTAATATTTTCCTTGAAATTGGTGCCAACAGCCTTAGCTGTCTGTTCTACTTCTATAGGCAAACACTGTAAAAATTGTTCAGTCTATCTCTTGTGGTTAAAATCAGACAGGTTGTGTGGTTTGGATTTCTGTTACATACAGGTGGACTTTCCAGCATGGCACATTTGTCCTCAATTTTCTTTGTGTGGCTTAGAGAAAAAAGAGTGTTTTTCACTGGGGAAAATAGGAGTTTGCTTTCTCTATCAAGGCTTCTGGAGAGACTGCTCATCTTAAATTCAAGATTCTTTGACTAGTGCTAGCTGCTTTGCTACTCCATTTGGAAAGATTATAAGCTTCTGTGCTGACTGACTCTGATATTCATTAGAGAACTTTCTGGGCAAACACAATCAGTGAGAGACAAAGATTTAGCCATATCATTTGAGTGCTGTTAGGAAGACTGAAACAATGTTGTCTTTCAGTCACTATCTTTTGAGGGTTTTGTACAACTCTGGGTAATTCTGGGATTCTTGTTGGGAGCCAGCCAGAGAATAGGCCCCAAGCAGGTTATAAAGGGTCAGAGGTTCTCCTGAAGTGTTTTTTATAATAAATATAGCTGTGTAATCATTTGGTTAACTTGTTATTCAACCAGTGCAGAGCAGTCTTTGGCCTTAAATCCAGCTTAGCATGTTGATATGTTTCGGTTGCATAGTGCTACCAGCGAGATGACTCTCGTTTGACATATTCAGCCATTTGGAAACTTAGATGCTCAGAAACTTATTTTACGTTCAGCAGGAATGTTAGGGTGTGCAGTCATTGGAATAAATAAAATAGGTATTCAGAATTAGGAAAGAAAAGAATCTGGTCGACTTCTGGCAAGTGTTTTGGTTATCTGCAGAGTATACACCTCTTGTCAGTATAAATAGGGAGTGCCTGTATAAACATTCTTGTTTCGCCTGTTCCACATAATAGTTTCTTGTATCATATTTCTTTTGACCTCGCTATCTGAAACCAATTACAGGAGATCCATTTGGGCTGCATCTATTTTCATAAGAAGCCCAGGCAGCAGTGTTTTTCTCAGAGATGAATATCAACATCAAATATCCTTCTGAGTGCTTTGTTATTTATGTTTCAGAGAGATTTTGTAGCCTTCAGCTCTCAAGAATGTGTCACGCTGTGCTGTTTATACATTGACGATATTAATGGGCATAGATGTCATTTTTCATTTTAACGTCTCAAATGCAACAGGCTGATAGGTTAAACATTCCTGGTTTTAAAGGGAGGATATGAGTGACATCTGTTTCCTAAAAATACACATATATTTATTTTCTAAAAAACAGAGTAATAAGCTTACCATCTTTAGGTGACAGCTTTCACTTTATTAAAATGGTAAAACTTTAAAAATAATTTTGAATCACACTTAGATCAAACAGAAGGGTTTGGGATACAATATTAAAGGAAGTTATATCTCCTAGTAATATTGCCAACAAACAGCAAAGTCTACCGCAATTTATCAACTTTAATAGTGTGAGTTATATGCAATTATTTTCATTTCTGTTCTGCTTATGTTTTAGCTATGCCAAAGCTTCGTAGTAAATATTAAGAAGTACTGTTCCCAATAAATATTTTATGAGAAGACACAGTGAGTTCTGGAAACCATATGCCCAAATTTTCCTTCCTATATAGCCATTACTTAAAGCATCATAATTATTTTCATTTACGTAATTAAAATAATTTCTAATCCTCAGTTCTTTTTATTGCTTTTGTCTACATTGGATTTTTTTAATAGTTTTACTAATTTATATAATTAAGGAAAAGTTCCTACTAAATTTGAAACAAGTGTTATTGGGAACTAGATACAATTTTGAGCACCATAGAATCTGGTGCTTTCTGCACTTAACTTGAGGTGGCACTCAACATAAATTTGATTTGTCAGATTTATAAGCATCTGTTATTTTGTCTTCATTACACTGTTTTTAGATCACGAGTTATTGTCAGAGAAATTTATAAATGATATATGAGATGGGTGTTTACTGGAAGTGTAGATGTTAAAATGTGAATTTTGTAAAATACTTTCAGGTTGTCAATTTAATTTGCAAAGATTTAATAGCAGCAAATGAATTTTTAGAACTATTGTTTTACAGTCTCATGATCTACACTTATGAATAATGTCAGTAATAATGCTTTGAAATTAACAGTATTTCTGAGAGGTTGTTTACTGTGTAGCAAAATGTAAAGTTAAGCAGCACACTTGGAGAAAAAAATACTGTATGATGACTGCTCTAAGAACAAAGGCTGACAGTGATTTCTCCTTATGAGTTTTAAATCATCTCTGATCTCTTGAAATTGTTTTCTGTTCTTCTTCTATCTCCTGTGTTTACAATAATCTAAACTGCCACAATAAGATCACTGAAGTATTCAGGTAGTCATCATTTATAAGACATTCTGTATTAAAAGATAAGCCTTTACTCCTTTAGAGATATCCCAACCAGCACATATGAATCAAAATAGTTTAAGTAGTAGAGCCTTTTATGCAAGCATATCCTGTTGTGCTGCCTTGCTTTTTCATGAAGTGTGACTCTTTTTGTAGTTAGCTGTAGGAAGTCATACTTTCTTAGGCTCATTCCACAGGAGTATGCTAGCCACAATTTGAAATCAGTCTAGATTAAATCTAAGCTACATCAGGCTATGATTTTCTAATTTTCAAGTACTGTAAATGTACAGATTTACTGGATGTTTACTGGCTTGTTTTATTGTATTGATGTGAACACACTGCTGCTGAGGAAGATTAGGATTTCTGCAACTGCCAAAAATAAAAGATTATTGTGTCTATGTTTTTTTGGTTTTTTTTTCATTTCCTCTTGCTCCAGATCTCTTCTCTCATTCTCCTGGCAGTATCACCCCAAGTGGTGAGGTTAGTTTTCCTCTGCAGTCTCATGAATTCAGGAGTGCAGTAGTTCTCTTGCTTCCCTTCAAGTTTTCCTTTTGGAGAGCACTAGACATTAAAGAACAAAAATTTGCCACATATCTTCTGTTTGTGCTTTTAGTCTGTTTTTGCTTCAACCACTGAAAGAAGTTGGGACCAAATCCTGGTGCCCCTGAAATCAACACCTACATTTAACTCTGATCTCAGGCAGAGAAATACTGTTCTTAAGGATATGCTCAAGAACTGTGAGGGTAGAAGAGATCATGCACCCAGTGGTTCCTTGATGACAAAATATTTCAAGTGCACTTTTAGATATGTTAATTTTTTGCTTATTTTTGGCAGAGAGAAGATATTTCTGTGTGTCTCATTGCTTAGGTTCAGAGGAATGTATAGTCTTTGTGTAGCTGACCTGTAATTACTTGAGAATTTGATGAAACAATACAGGGATTGTTGTGGGAATGTCTCCAAATGTTAAAAGTCTGCTCTGCAAACTTTGTACCAGGGCCTTCTATGGGGAGACAAATCAATGTTGTTAGGAGATGGTACTAGTGCATTCACTTTGTTTACTTTGGTTTTCTATGTCTGCCTGCCTTCTCAGAAAACTTGCTTGGAGCCAGACTGTAGCAGCCCTCTCTCTGTCTTTTCATAATTGATCAGGGGATGACTGCCTTCCCTGAGGGTTAAGACGTGGCAACTTTTTCTGTTTGCTCAGCATCTCAATGCAGTAGTTCAAACATTGTTCACACCAGCTGGCAGTGTAATGCCATATGCACATCTTGTCAAAGCAACTGTTGTCATGGATACTAGAAACTATCTTAAAAACCAGCTCATTTGAGTCTAATCAAAATTGTACCTTTCTTTATCAGTTGAGAATCTTTATTATTTTAGGGGACATTGATCAAATGGCATTTGTTGCAGTACATTCCATCTGCAGTAGGTTTTAATAACAGAAATAATAGTGTGATGTATTGTAAAGCTATAAATGCTATTTATTGAGCTGATTTTTCTAAGGGGAAAGAATGAGTTCTCCAGGTAGTTTCAGTGGAAATGTTTTGAATCACATTTTTTGGTTTTGCTTTTTTTTTTTTTTTTAATTTCCAAATACCACTTTATAACACTTGACATTTTAGAAATAATTTTATAGGGAAAAATAATACAGATTAGCACTCTTCAGGTAGGTAGAATGTTTGTTTACATTTCATATGTTTAACTGTATTTGGCTGAGTTGGAATGAAAACGTAAAATAAATGAAAACATCTTCTATTTTGATTGGTATACTGTCATCCCTGAGCCTGATCTGGTTGGTTGAGTAATAATTTCTTTGTTCTCTGATTTTCCTAAGAATGCAAATTAAAACCACTCATTTTTATTTGGCATTAAAACTGTACTCCTTTTTTTTTGTCAAAGGAGAGGTTTCTCCTTGAATTGTAAGTACAAAAAGTGTTTTTAATCTTCAATGAATATCCTTATTAATTCACTTTCAAGATAATCTGATGTTGATTTGTCAAATTTAATTACAGCTTCTGGTAACACTTGAAGTCTACTTGCTTTTACTTCAAATTGTAATACGAAAATGCAAATTGAATGATAATTTGCAAGGGAGTGGGCATTTTAGTTGAACACTCAAAGACAAGTTCCTTGTGGAAATGAGGCTATTGATGCAGTTTATGATTTTTCCTCTTCAAGCACTTCAAACAAATTAACTTTATTTCCTGCAGGATTTCATGTACATCCATAAATTCTAGTGAAGTCTTATATATGTACTTTCAGAATATTTTTTTTTAATGTTTCAACTAAAAAAAAACAACCCCGAAGTCTGAAATATAGCAAATACAAATCGAATAGGAGGGGATTTTGTTCATTCAATTGGACTTTTACCTAAAATTAGCAATGAGTAACTGATTTCTTTCCAGGAACTGGTTGAATTTATTTACTTTTTTTTTTTTTTTCTTTACTTTTAGGCACTCCAGGCAGCAAGGCAGCTGCTTTTACAGCAACAGACAAGTGGACTGAAATCTCCTAAGGGCAGTGAGAAACAGAGACCGCTGCAGGTTAGTAAAGTCTCCTTGCTTTTGGGACCTTAATGTCAGGGAAGAGTGCGGAGCTGGCTGACACGTGCGGGGTGTGTGGCAGTGCCTGTCCTCTAAGCCGTGTGTGTGCATATTCACATGCTGCTGCTTACTGCACAGGGAAAAACCAGTGCAGGACACAAAAGCCTTTTGTGGCTGTACATGCTTAAAAGGTCTGAGACTAGGTCTGAGTTCAGTTACTGTGGTACATTAATTCTTTATAGACATGTTACAGGATTGCTATGTGATTTTTATACATACATGGTTTAAGTTGTAAAAAACATGTTAAGACTGGGAGCAAAACAATATCTGTGAAAAAGCAGAGAAAAACTAAATACCTCACAGTTACTATACCTAAGTGACAGAGAAGTCTTCAGAAACTTACCAACACGAGTGCATGAAATTATGAAAGCTGCTTCTGCCATTTTGGAAAAAAACATACGTCATGAAATTTCACATTAGGATGTTGTTGGGTTTTAGATTATGAATGAGTAAACAAGAAGTTCTGCTATTGAATAGTTATTTTAAATGAATTAGTAAAAACATAAAGAGAGTTTTATTCCTAGGAAATTTTGTCAGTATGGTATTTTTATGAGGTATTAATCATTTATTCTTAATGCAGGGTTCCATATCAAATTGCGTTCTGCTGACAAAACTTGTTCTCTCTTGTATATAGACTAATATGGGTGCTTAACTGCTGAATTGCATTTTATTGCAGACAATTTTATTTTGTTCAGGAAATTAAAAAAGTATAAATCCTACCATTCTCTTCCTCACATCTATTTTTCTGGGTGTGCATTTATTCTCTCAGGACTTCCCCTGTTTTCTGATGGAGTAGGGTGTTTTTATCTCATTTTTAGTTTTTGTCATGCATAATGGAGGACCCCAGGCACTAGAATGTATTTTTTTCTCCACCAGGGAAATGTTGTGAAATTTGTTCACTTGCGCAGTTTCTGAATGTGATTCTCATTGTCTCCTTTTCTTTGTGAAACTTGGTAGAGCAGTGTTGGACGCAGCAAACAGTTCCACATTCCTGATCAGCTCTCTTCAAATACACTTTTAAGGTTTTATTTATTTGCTCAGAACCAAACAAGAATTTAGGAATATGGCTAAAGAAAATGGAAAAAAGGAAAACAGGACATGATGGCATCCTGCCATACTGTAGTTGTTGCCCATTCCAGGCTAAGGCTGAGTCCTGGGACCCCCTCAACTTCCCACTCTCCACCCTTGACTTTGCTTTGTAAGTGCAAATTCACATTTGCTTTGTATCAAATACTTTCTGCACTGAAGCCACATAAGAAGAGTAGACATAAAGGTAGAAACTTATCAACTATGTGGGGTTTTTAAGTTTTTAAAGTGGAATTAGTGACCTTGAAGGGTTGAATCATGAAAATGATTGATTCAATGAATATTGTGAAAGTGCTTCATTCTGCTAGCTCCTCATTCTGAAAGGTAAAATGGGTTGTATAAAGAGTGTACCAGATCCATCTATAGCCCTATGTTCTGTCTCTGAATTGGCCAGGACCAGGCACTAAGGAAAGTATATGAAACAGGCATAAATCATGGTATTTTCCCAGTATATGTTTTCTGTATTTTTTCTTACTTTAATCCTCCACCTTTTAAACCAGCAGAGTCCAGGAGCTACTGACTTCTTTTTTCACATTCTCCACCCTTTCACAAACTTTGTTTTCAAGGTTAAAGAAGTCTGGGGGTGCACTGTTTGTGGTAGGCATTGTTGAAATGATAGAAAATGATGTTTGGAGGCAAAGACAGAACCCAGAGGATGATGAGATAAGGGGAGGGAGTCTTGTGCTTTCATGCTCTCAAAACACTAACTATGGCCTGGTGTCCTTTAAATGCTAGGGCTTGATGTGTTGGTGCTGTATCACTTGTTTCCCAGGAGGCATCAGCATCTCATGAGTCACACTTGAGAGGCAGGAAGAAGAAAATAAAGCAAATAATTTTATTTTCAGAAACTGTTACATGCTCCCTAAAGTCTAGATTATTGCTTATTTTCCAACTTTTTCTTTCATCATCAGTGTGTACATAGTGTCTCTTACTGGCCTTGAACACTTCATTTGGTTCATTTTTAAAGGAGAGGAAAAATGGAATTTGCTCCCAGACTTTGGTTTTATGTATCAAATACCATGTAAATTCAAGTATGAGCACAAGCTACATTTTAATTTTCTTTTTTAGTGAAAAGAATGTATAAAGGTTTTGGAAATGAGTCTTTTGAGCTTTTCTACCTCTGTCTCTTACTGTTCATTGTTCATCATGTAGTGGGAACTCACATTTTGATCACCATGTTGCCTGTTTGACCAAATACTGTCATAAAATTGTATAGCACTATTATTTTCTTATGGCAAATTTAATGATAACTTTAGCGAAAATCTTCTAGCAGTAGAAATTGCGAAATTTGTATAAGCCTTATAAGACAAAATTGAATGTTATAAGGCAAAAATACTTGTACTTGTGTTTGTGATTGAGAAAACAGACTTCTCCTAATACTTTAAAGTACTTTTAAATTAGTGCATATCTAATTTCCTCCATTTCAGAGCAATTTACTAATCTGGCAACTGTGGATATGTTAGAAGAGATTTATAAATCTAGTAAAAATGCCATAAAACCTTTAAAATTAGCTCACACATCTGCAAGCATATGTGGCTATTAGGTAAGCCTTGCCATGCATCTTGTGCTCTGTAGTTTGATGTAAAATATTATATTGTTCCATGAGACAAAGAGGAAAAAAACTAGTATTTATTTTAGTGGCCATCTTTTTTGGGAGGAAAGTAGCATATGGTGTTTTTCTGTATGTTCTCTTTGTTGTTTCATAATGCGTCAAGTATTTTAGTGACTTACAGCACCTACTAGCTAATCAGCAAGTTGAAAGCTGATTGAAGAAACCTTCAACTTTGCAAAAAGAGGGTGTTGGGTAAGTTGTCATGTTCTACTGTGGTTTACTGAGGGGATGGCTTTAGGGGAACTGCTGAAATTTTCCTAGAATAATTTGAGTGTCTTTTGTATCCTCATGAAAAGCCTTTACAAATGTACCACTAGCTATGTGATCTATTGAAAAGTGCAGAAGTTTTTGTTTTAGTTTCTAGTGCAAAAGTTACATTTAACTAGTAGTTATCCTGTATTTTCAGGGACAGGAGGTTTATATTTAGATTGCGAGTTAAAAGAATACCTGCAAAAATTGCCGTTTGAGATAGACGCTTGTCTTGATCTACTATTACTTTCATTTACATTTGTCTGGGTTTCACACTGCAGATGGCATAACCATTAGCATGTCTTATGTAAAACAGAAGAAGAAAAACATCCCTTTTGACAAGCTTGAGTACCAATTGTGGTAGTGATTTTACTTTCATGTATAGATATCTGAATAAATGTATTTGAAACATGTTTATATATGCCATTCATTACACTGATGCACCAATTGAATGGACCCAATCAGTACGTACATTGATTAATGACATATTGCAAAATAGCTATGGAGGGTTTGTGATCAGAGTTGAGGGTAATGTTAACCTGAATATGATGAGATAATAGCATTTACTATTTTACTGTGCATCCAGTAAAATATTGCTGTAGTAAGATTAAGATTTTTGTAGCGCCATTTTTTGTTTCAGAATATTTTTCTTTTCTGTAGAATTGGTTATAATGGTAATCCACAGTGAAGCTTACTAATTGCTTTCAAGGATTTCTCTCCTTATCACCAAATTTCCATAGCAGGCATAACAGGAATAAAAGGTCACCTTGGCTCTTAGAACATGTAGTTCTTTTCCTAGGGCAGAAGGTCACTGTCCTTAGAGCCACTGAAGACCATGGTATCATCTAGCATGAGTTTTAATACTGCCAGCTTTATTTTCATGTAACATTTCATTTCATTTGTATCACATGTAACATTTCATTTCATCAGTTTCATGAGCAACAGTTGGGGTTCTTCAAGAACTGTGAGAGCACAAGCATAACCCAAAGGTAAATGCTGTCAATTTTCTGCCATTGGTGGTATTCATGTGCAGCATTGCAATTATTTCCCTTCCAAGCAGGCAGACTCTATGCTTAGATTAATCTGTCCATGATACACATACTGTTGTTGTCTGCATAGGATGGTGATATGCACAGTTATAATTCCATTTGTTTGCCTAGTTGTTTCTATTCCCAGTAATTTCTCTAAAGGAGTAGTTTTTTTCACAGTCAGACTGTGAATGCTATGTCAATGAGAATAAATAGATAATTATCTTCAGCCCCATAGTTTAATATATCTACAATGAATTGGTTAGATATTTTTTCCTTCAGGCTAGGAGATTTGTTGTTTCAACATCAGTACAAATGCATTCCATAAGAGGATGGCATGTCATGAAATCATGACTCCTGGAATCAAAGGGTTAAGCTCAGTGTGTACCAAGCCAGTTGTATAAATATCATGCTGTATGGAGTGTTGAGTTGTTATCGTAAGCTTTGTTTATTTAGCATAAGCATTTCACTGAAGTTTAATAATTTGATAAAATTTGGGAAATATATACACTTAAGTTTAATTACTTAATTTTTATTTCATTGGCGAATACCATCAGAAGAACCATTTTTTTAAAAGACACTAAAAATGCAAAAATTTACCATGAAAAGATATTCACAGTCTCTTTTAACCCACTCTCCTTGCTTCACTCTTTTCTAGTTTGGTCATCTCCCTTTGGATCTTCATATGGGCCTGAGTTTAAAATTCATTGCACATAATAAATAAGCAAACATATCATTAATATTGTAACCTTTAGTTACTTTTTTTAAACATATTTAAGGACTTGATGAGAGATGAGAAATAGGGAATGTGGGAAAAAAAGAAGCAAACCCCACTGCTTTTAAATTATATCCTCTGATTTAATGCACTTTGACTTCAACCGTGCATGCTTAATATCAGTCAAAAAGTGCCATTTTAAAAACAGAAAAAAAAAAAAAAACTTGTTATGGTTGGAACTTAGAGAATT